TGGCTTGTCCAGAAGTTCTGTGGAGTTCTTCACTGTAAGACAGGATTCCAGCTATATTCCCACTTTTATCTTCCATTAAATAAATCAAGAACTTAAGTCTCTTACAAAGCAAACTGAGTCAAAAAACCGAACTGTGATCACTTTTCCCAGTCCACTCCCACTTAAATCTTTCTATTAAAAATTTTTTATTGTATTTATTTGTATACTTATTCATTTATTTAGTGGTGGTAGGAGAAGTACATTCCAGGGTACACACAGAAGTCAGAGGGCAACTGGTGGGAGCTGGGTCTCTCCTTCTACCATGTGAGTCCCAGGGATCAACGCAGATCATCAGGCTTGGTGGCAAGTACCTTTGCCCACTAAGCCATCTTGCTGGTCCTCAAGTCAGATTTCTGAGCAGCTCACTTTGTCTAGTCTTCTAAAGCACTCAATGATAACTCTATTCTTACACTCATACTTCACTTGTCTAACAAGTATTTAAGTAGATTACAAATTACCATAACATCACTACCTGAAATAAACAGCTCTATGAACAATATGACTAATTCTTGATAAACAGGTAATTGTTCTAGTAACCACAGCAGGATACAGAAAGGGTGTGTGTGTGTTTACTACTGTGAAAGACTGAAAGATCTGTGTGTGTGTGTGTGTGTGTGTGTGTGTGTTTACTACTGTGAAAAATCCAGAAGATATGAATTAGATGATAATCCAATGTAGAGCAGAGAAGGGTGTGACACCACCACCCTGTCCTGGTTGCCCCACAAAGACAGAACTCATTCCAACTGCCAGAGCATTTGGGAGAGCCTGTCAGTCCAGAGAAGTACAGCCAAAGGGTCATCTGCAGCTTTACTGAAGCTTCATTATAAGTGCTGTTCATATCAATTCTAATCTGCATACAAAGTAACAAATGCTATTAAAGCTTCTCTTTCTCAAACTTAAATGTAGCAGAATATGAGAATGAATGAGTACGAGCACTAGCACTGGCCCTAACAGATGGGGAAAATGTACTTTCTCCCTCATACGAAGAACATTACCAGGCTAGAGAGATGGCTCAGTGGTTAAGAGTGCTGGCTGCTCTTTCAGAGGACCTGAGTTCTGTTCCCAGCACCCACATGGCAGCTAACAACTGTCCTAACTCCAGTTCCAGGGTATCCAATGCCTTCTTCTGACCTCCACGGGCATTGCATGACATGGGTGGACTTACACAGATGCGGGCAATACACTCAGACACATAAAATTTTAAAAAAAAATTTTAATTATCTTCATTAAAAACTGCAATTCAGTTAAAGAGGTAGCTCAGTAGATAAAGGCACTTGCCACCGAGCCTGATGACCTGAGTTCAATCCCCAAGATCAAATGGTAGAAGGAAAGAACAGGCTCCAACAAGCTGTCCTCTGACTTCCACATGTGCACAGTGGCGTGCACACACACACACACACACACACACAAACACACACACAAACACACACACGGTTCAATAAGTGGAAAAAAAATGTGAAGTCTGCAATGAGAAGGTTCTGCTTTTGAAACAAGGACATCAAATAATGCCTAGAAGTCAGGGAGAATCTCAACTCACGGACTCGACTTCTCTAGCCTACTCCTACCCTCCAACCAAATGTCACAAAGTTCTTCAACCTGTTTCTTTCTGAACTCATCCATACCACTTTTAAAACCATGGCTAACATTAAAATCCTGTTTCAGGAAAACTAGATTCTTCCAGAATTTATACTAAAAACACTTGGGTGATTTACCTCAAATTCTTTCACCTTTTCCATCGTGATCAAGCGCCTTGATGTATGACTAGAAAGCTTCTGCTCACAATTGCTAATGAGTTTCAGGCAAGGGTGCCAGGGTACCATCTCTTCAGTGTATCTGAAGAAAGAAAGGTGACAGTTAGGAACACTCACATACACAGTCCACACATAGTCATTGTGGGAGGCTGATATGGTGTCCATACAACCCATAAGTAACCTACCTGTATGTTAAAAGTCAAGTTTTTTAATAGTACCTCTACCAAGAAATATAGTTCACTATTTTATCCTTTGAAGGCAGGGATGGAGTGAGACAAAGTACAGTGAAAGGGAAGAAGAGAAGGGAGGGAGAGAGGAAGGATATACAAGTGTGCTCTATTGAAGAGTACCAAGCAAACCACAAAATAAGATGATGATTCCACCCTAAGGATCCTACAGGAACAGATCAGACAGACAGATGTATACTCCACAACAAGCCCTTGACATTCAATCCTTTGATTTCTTCTGGGGATTTTTACAAATTCTCAAGGTATTAAGTCTACAATAACACATTCTTCCCCCTACAAAATGAAGTGCCCCTGAAATATGTTAAAGACATCTTGAGACTGCTATTAAATTTGTAAATAAACAATATAGATTATATCATAGATTATATGAGTTCCCTGCTTGTGCTAGCCAGGAAAGAAAACTGAAGCTATCACACTTGAGTGGTGGAGTGCGTTACTGTACAAAATGCGCCACATGAGCAGAGATAGTAAGACTTAGAAAGCAGGAGAGTGATGCCATAGTTAAGAACCTGGCAGAATCACCCTGTGTCCCTGTCCAGCATGGAAGAAGCCAGAGCGGTCTGCATCCTGATTCCCTACCTGCAAGCTGGGTAACCTCCTCAGAGGATGGTGTGATAAGAATAGGAGGTAGGAATTGGCTAGGCAATTAGTGTAAAAAGACCCCAAGGAAAGTAGCCAGTTTCTTGACTAAAAGTCAAAATGTCCCTGGGCCTCTTAACAATATACTCTGTTCCAAAGGCCAAAAATGTTGAAAGTATTTGGGGAGCTCTTATCTAATTCTTAAAAGATTTTAGGGTTACTTCTTCAGAGGAGGGAATGTTAGAGTAGCAAAAAGCCCCATTTGGAAAAAGAAGGAGTACATGAAGTTATCAGAAAAAAGTGATAGGGAGATATGGGAGGGAAAAGTTGGGGGGGAGGGAGTGGGCATGGATTTGATCAAAACACCTTATATGCTTATATGCCTATATGAAATTCTCAATAAATTTTTTTTTTTTTTTTAAAGAAAGAACCTGGCAGAAGAAGCCAGTGACAGAAAAGGAGACAGAGCTGGAGAATACATCAGTGGAGCAGGAAAGGGTCCCCCTATGTACGAGCACCTTCAGATACTGACAAGCAGTCTTCCCTTTGCAAATATTTATGCCTTTCTGAACAGTCTCTGCACACTTATCATATGGGTAATCTTGAAGTCCTGATTCAAAATGGGAAAGGTACAGAGGAAGAACCGACTCCAGCTAGCAGTCCAGTGTGTCAACATCATCTTTATCACCACTGTTAAGCACTTTTCTGTCTCTCTGACCTTCAACGAGCTCTCCCTCACTGCCTCAATCACAGGCTCAGAGCTTTCATCACTCACTCACCAAGCAACGTTCATGCTGCACTTCACTCTATTATCAGTGGAGGGAATTCTCTTGAAGTCTTTCTGTCTCTCTTCCTTAGGGAACTTGTGACCATTTCAGTCTACCTTGCTTCTGTGCTGAACTCAAGACTTTATTCTTGCTAGTCTCTAAACAGTACAGTATAACAGGTATCATTTATATTGGATTAGGTATTCTAAATAATCTAGAGATTGTTTAATGTAGGAGATGGTACACAGGTTATGTGCACATCTCTCACCATTTTAATGAATCCATGGATTGTGCTATGGGTATGTGTGTGTTGGCGGGGGGGGGGGGGCTTTGGGTTCTTAAAACCGGGTTTTTAAGCTTACTCTATAGCCAGAAATAATGTACTTCTTTATAAAATTAGTTTCAAATTTGGAGTCTTCATAGCAAATATTTGAGACAAATAAGTTCTATATCATAACTGAGACTAATTTTCAAAAACAGAAAGAAGATATAGCTGTGAACTTAAGCTTACAAACAGCAAGATCCACTGATATCCAAAACAGTGTTTTTGTTAAACTTGGGAATGTATCATTCTCTACCTCCCTCAACCCCCTTTAAGGAAGAATCTCACTTTCCATCATATAGCTCAGGTTGGCTTCACAGTCCAATCCTTCTATGCAGGAATGCAACTTTTATTTATTTATTTTTTTAACGTGCATGTGTGTATTGCCTGCATGTAGGTAAGTGCACCTGTATCGTGCAATGCCCACAGAGGTCGGAAGATGCTGTCGGGTCCCCTGGGACTGGGGTTACAGGCAGCTGTTAGCTGCCATGTGGGTGCTGGGATTTGAACCCAGGTCTTCTGTAAGAACGACCAGTGTTCTTAACTGCTGAGCCATCTCTCCAGCCCAGGAATGCAACTTTTTAAAGAAATAAGAAACTTCCATTTTCTATTGACACTGACTCAGATATTTTTTAAGTGCCAATTAAATATGCACAAACATAAACCAATGCAAGTTCCTCATGCTTACGTCCCTTATAAAACTAAATAAAAATTTTAACTAAATAAAATTTATGAATCAAACGCAAATGCCCAAAAGTAATATACTTGTAAGTAACATTGGTGACATGGATGTTATAGTGCTAAACTAGAATTACCAGCAACTAGCTTTCTTTGTAGCAGGACTGAGTAGACACAAACCATAGCATCTGGTTTAACCAAATATAAGCACATTTGTATACCTTATACTGTCTTTTAGGTAGATCTTTGATTTTAAACATAAAGAAACATCATTTGGGTGATCATTCTGATCACTAATTTATTGCAGTTCTCTCTCTCTCTCTCTCTCTCTCTCTCTCTCTCTCTCTGAATTTGTAGACTGGTTCTAGGCATAATCCCCCCTCCCCCCAACACACATACTCATAGCACAATCCATGGATTCTTTAAAATGATGAAAGATGTGTACATAACCTATGTATCATCTCCTACATTATTTAAATAACCTCTAGATTATTTAGAATACCTAATCCAATATAAATGCTACCTGTTATACTGTACTATTTAGAGACTAGCAAGAATAAAGTCTGAGTTCAGTAGAGAAGCAACTGTCATAGGCTGAATTCTATTTCTCATCCAAGTTTGGCTGAATCCAGATGTAGAAACCACAGATGTGGAGGTCCAACTGTATATTAATGACCTAATCAACTGAAAAATCTATTTTCAAAATACCATACTGAAAATAATTTAAATAGCAGCTTAAAAATCTTCACTATTTACTAGTATTTCATACCAATGGACTGTTTACTATTCCCCTATATCTTAAGTTACCTATTTAAAACTTAAATCAGCCAAAATTGGAAAATGCACAGAGATAAGTTTAGTGGTTGGTAGAGGCAAAAGGAACAGTGATTGCTAATACAAACTAGGTTTCTTCTGAGGATGAGGAAATGTTTACAGTGGTGATGGTTGCACAACTTTGTGGCTATACTACAAACCACAGAAGTGAACAGTTTACAGAGGGAGTTTCATGAATACAAATTACATTCCAACTTTAAGAAAGACAAAAATAGTTATGTGCATGGGCCCCTAGTGTTTCCACATATCAGTTTCCATAGTCACTCATTTCCTTGTAAATCTTCAAGTTTCAATTGCTCTCCAAATGTCATCAGTTTTACCTGCCACTTGAAACATTTTGGATTCACTGGAACATGCTGAACAGTTTAAAGCATCATTCTTTCCTGTTTCTTAGATAAAGATGAAAAAGATGTCTTCTTCACTGATACAAGCCACCATAAACTTTACTGACTAAATTACAATTTATTTCCAAATCTTTCTTGGGACATGTTACTAAACTTCTTGGCCATCATTTATTTATTTTTTTACTTTTCTTTTCTTTTTTTTTTTTTTTTTTTTTTTTTTTTTTTTTTTTCGCTTGCCGCTTTTTTTTTTTTTTTTTTTTTTTTTTTTTTTTTTTTTTTTTTTTTTTTTTGGTCTTTTTGAGGCACGGTCTCCCTGTAGCCCCAGCTATCCTGGAACTCATGTTGACCAGGCTGGCCTTGAACTCACAGAGATCCGCCTGCTTCTGCCTCCTGAGTGCTGGGTTTAAAGGCGTACGCCACCACGCCTGGCCTATTTTCATTTTTTTTAAATGTATGTGTCTGTGTGCGTGTGTTCATCTGACCTGTGTAGGGGCACCTTCAGAGGGACAGAGAAGGGTTCAAGATCTCCAAAGCTAGAAGCAGAGGCCAGTGTAAATCGCACAATGTGGGTTGCTGAGAACAACACTCAGGTCTTCTCAAAGAACAGCAAGCACACTTAACTGCTGAGCCATGTCTCCAGCCCCTAGTTTTACTTTTAAGTGACAAATTATAGGCCTATGGGGTATAATATAATGTTCATGATATATGTATTTTCTTTTATTATTTTTATTAATACGTGTATGTGTATGAAGTCCACAGCACACATGTGGAAGTCAAAGGACAACTTATAGGAGTCAGTACCTTCCTACTATGTGGGTCCTGGGGATCACTCAGGTTGCCAGGTCTAGACAACCAACACCCTACCTAGCTGAGTCATCTCACTGGTGCTGTCATCACTTTTACCACTAACGTTAGCAGCCACATTGCTATTAAAGGTCATCTTTTGCAAAGAAAGTTTCTAGTCAGCTTAAGAGTTAATTGGCATAATGAAATTAGGTAACAAAGTTCTTTGAATTGGTGGGACCTGAGGAAACAACTACGTTCATTCCGTAGCTTTGCAACTCTGACAATAAGACAAATCTATGCTCTGCTTCAATCACAGATGATCAGGGTCATTTTCAGGTAAAAGTTGATATAATAACCCACAAATAACACCAGTGTAACATAATTTTAGCATTCACCATAGTATAAAGAAAAGAGACATAAAGGTCTAATAATAAGTAGCAGATGATCTGAAAATAACTCTCAAGGTACAAGTCCATTAGGAGAGTAAATGCCCATAAGTTGCCCATGTCCTATAAGTAACTGTA